CCCCCCCACAGTGTCCCATTGTGCTGCACTTAATGTTGAGCTTATTCCACATGCTGAATTAGGTTCGTCTGAAAATGTTTAATCCCATCACCTCTTCATGTTCATTGGATAAATTTGAGTTTGCTCTGTTTGAGTTTGTGTTCGCCTGGATTCAGTATTCCAATCTCTATGCAATTTAGCTTTTCATCTTAGCAGTTGTGTATGTGAGGAATTAAAGTTTAAAAACATTCCTTAGTATGTTTAATAGCACCCCTAGTGGTGGATATTATATGCTACAGTATATCTACTTATAGAAGTGCTAAACCATAAAAGCATAATCATTGAATGTATTAAACTAAAAAGTATAGTCACCATATGTATTGAACACTGTAGGTAGTCAATGAACTTGAATTATTGAACCGTGGAAGAGATTAGATTGATGTTATGAGAGCGAGGATTTGCAGGAGGTGATCATGTACGATGGTGGATGAGCCAGCGGAGAAACCGGTAACAGGAAGGAAGCAGGAAGCAATCAAGAAATGGAGAGTCTGCTGTAGCGGGGGATGGCCTGACGCTGGCTGAAGAGGAGTGATTGACCAGGCCAATGGGTCAAAGGCCAGGAGGGGCTTAGCGGGTTTCAGCCAATCACTGAGCTGATACAAGACATTTTCAAACAATAAGACACTGTTTTTCTCAGAAGAACCCTTAGACCTGTGATGCACTCTTTACAGATAACTAGCTAGGCTGGACTGTTGGGAGGAATTCATTAGGCCTGTGTTCCATGGACCATATTACTATCGATAGCGTAATTCAGTTTGTAGCTTCTGTTAATTATTAAATACTTTTGATTATAACTCGAACCAGCTGATTTTTTGGCACGGCTTTGCTGACGAAAGAGGCAGCAGTGGTTGACGTGCAGCCTTCCATAGTTCAGAGAGAGGTTCAGGACTCAACACATATCCTATTTAATGATAGGAACTACATAATTACTTTCAGTATTGACAAAACTTAAGATTTTTCATTTACATTCATTTTTTATAGACTATCTGTGTGCACTTTAAAGCTGTTAGTTAACCTAATCTGCATGTATTTAGACTGTGGGATGAAACCAGAGTACCCGGAGGAAACCCACGTGACACGGGGAGAACATGCAAACTCTACACAGCAAGGTAGGTCCGGACCAGGAACCTTCTTGCCATGACATGTCGTTTAATGATGTAGCATATCCTATTTAATGATAGAAACTAAATATTTACTTTTAGTATTGACAAAACAAACTTTTTAAATTTCATTATTTTCTAGTCTTTCCGACCACTCAAAGTGCTTCCGCAGTACGTGTCATCATCAACACTGATGGAAGGGGCTGCCATGCCACCTACCCATCAGGACTAACTAACATTCACACACTGCAAGCACAGCTACGGGAGCAGTTTAGAGTGAAGTCTCTTGCTGTGTGGTAACAGTGCTGCGTGAAGACATAACATCAACTTTGCAGCAACTTAAAAACGTAAACATCCTGGAGAAGAATTGGCAGGCCCTCTTGACGTACTTCTTCCAGACTTCAACGGACTCTGTGGTTCCTTCATCACTGCTGGTGTTGTCCCCATCTGTTGTCCCCATCTGTTGTCCCCATTTAGCATTATTTGATTTATTTATTAATGATTCCTGCGGAAATACGTCTCACCTTTTCTGCACCTCCTAAGCTTCCGTACTCCTGTCTTCCTCTCACAATGGTGTTTGTATTGCCGAGACTAAGTTGTGTGGAAGAATGTTGTTGCACTGTTTTGTTGGTTTCTTCGGGAATGGAACCGTTTACGCTACGCACTTTAGTAACTGCTAAAGTGATCACATTATCTAGCTGTTACGTGCCTTTTTGACTGTTAAACTATACGTTTTGTGGCTGTTTCATTTAGCCTTTTTGGCGCTATTTGTTTTTACGTCAGGCTGCCCTGTCACATAAAAAGAACGTAGCGACTTGTCGAAAAAGCTTTTGAGGTGTTTGGTCGCTTGTAGCCTGTTTTGAGCTGGTATTCAGCTTGTGTTTTCAGCCTCCACATTATTCTACCTTTGTGAAAAAAAACCTTGGTTTTAATCCCAGAATCCAGCAGGTGATCAGCGGGCTGACCTTGCAGCTGCACGATGACTCTCATGACGTCATATTGACAGCTTGATGGATACAGGTGCCAGCCCAGGTACATGTAGGCCAAAAGGCAGTCGAGGGACCACATATCTACAGCCTCATTCGGTCAGATGCCGAAGATGACCTCAGGGGCCCTGTAAGCAAATACCTGAACATTGGTGCCAGGCGACATTTTAAAAACCCGACGGGCCAAACCAAAGTCAATTAGTTTTACCTTTAACTGATGATTTACCAGCATTATGTTGTTTGGCTTGATGTCGGCATGTGCCAAACCTATGCTACTGAGGGCATTTAAAGCCACCAGCAACTGTTGTGTGAAGATGCTAATCTCAGACAAACACAGTCGCTCTTTGAATCTCTTTTCCACAAATGTATCCAGGGTCATGTCCAGCATTTCAAATGCCAGACAAGTGTATCCGTATTGCATAAAATGCTCGGTTAACTTGACCAAGTTATTCTTGTTGTCGTCAAGCTGCCTACGTTTTTCAAGCATGTACACTTCCATTTTATTGATTAATTAATTAATTCTAACGGAATTTGCTTCCTGGTCCGGTTAATTTTTAGCTAACATTCCAATAAACATCCACTTAAAATACATAAATGATAGTGTAATGTTTTCAGTTATTAAATGGTGTCAAACTAAAGTTTAACTTCTTTTCTTTCTAACTTAATACAGGACTGCCCTCTTCCTGGTTCGAACTAACTTCTGTCCTTGTTGTAAACACTGGGCACTGCTGTTTTTTTCGGGGGTGTTAACTTGTTCCAGGGTGGCCAAAATTACCATCAATGCTGTCAACACATCTGGACTGTAGTTCTGTCCTTCAGAATGAGATATCACGCTTCAACAACTCCAAAATATGCAATAAAAGCTCCTTAATATCAATTTGAGTGTATACCATCACCTGCTGGATGTTTTAGCAAATCTTCTCATTTCAATCACTTGCAAAAGAGATTGAACTTACTATTTTCCCCCACTACCATCAGCACCCTTACACAACCATCAGTTAATACGGTTAACACAATACAAACAGCAATAAGACAATGGCAAAGTATATGTTTCTCCACGTAACTGACCAACATGTTAAAGATTATTATCAGACGGACCTACTCTGTTCAGTTTGGGACATTTGTCTAACTGCCAGGCACTTGTGAGCCTTATTAATCCATTTTTCAACAGTTATTATATCAACAGACAATTTACCAGAACATTTTGGACCCTTTCACTCTCTTGGAACAAACACAAATTGAGTTTGTACTGTAGTAGCATAAAGGATAGGTATGCTGACACTTGCTGAGGTGGCGGCATCAGACTCATAAGATGGCCCTGCTTGAGGTGAAACAGTACTTTGGTTTGCCACCTGTAACTTCAATTGTTGATTTTCATCCTGAAGCTGCCGTACCTGACCCACAATGGCTTGAATGTTTTCCATACCACAGACTAATGTTCACTGTAGAGCCTTTGAAGCATCCTGAAGTCGTTACAGCCAATCCTCTGTTGGTCTTGATTGCAGCTGCCACCACTGTTTTTCCCACTACACTTAACTATGCCTACCACTATACAACCCAGGGCCAAATAAAAAATAAACAGATAGTGAGCAGTTTCTGTGTATGTATATATCCTTCCAACAATGCCAATTGTGAGCCGGTGATACTCAATTCACAACACCCAGAATAAACTGGAGCCAGAGACTACTATACCGAAAATATAGATTTTATTGACAATCCATGGAATAGAAGACTTGCCTCCACTCAACAAGTGAGTTTCAATAGAAGACCTAAATGCAGGTCATAATAAAGAGGGGGTGGAGTCAATGAAATTCAATTTATTTTTGTATATCACAAATTTGCCTCAGAGGGCTTTACAATCTGTATACATGCGACATCCTCTGACCTTTGACCCTCACATCGGAACAGGAAAAACTCCCCCCAAAAAACCCTTTAACGGGGAGAAAAGAGGAAGAGACCTTAGGGCGAGCAACAGAGGTGGGATCCCTCTCCCAGGATGGACAGAAGTGCAATAGATGTCATGTGTACAGAATGAACAGCATAACAGAGTTGCAACACATTCAATGCATATGACAGAACCACGGCAGGAGGCACGACCAGGGTCCAGGTATCACCAGGATCCACGGAAACCTGCGAGGTGAGAAAGCACAGAGAGAAGCAAAGTCAGTAATGTGTATTAATGGTTTCGGTAATAGAAATAGTAATGTGAGTAATAATAAAAATGATAGTAGCAGTTGGTGTCAGTAGGGCCACGGCGGGAGGAAGGACCAGGGTCCAGAGATAACCAGGATCCATGGAAAACTGCGAGGCGATTATACAATTAATGCACAAATCAAAGTATACAAATAAAGAAGCAAAGAAAATAAAAAATGTGGGGCTAAGCTGCACCATCAGGGAGGTCAGTATAGAGTTATGAATACAAAAAGAAATTGTCACAAAATGTTTCAGCAAATTATGAATAAACCACTGCACACAAACCAAATTAATCAAACTTACCTTCTCACAGCAAGCTAAGGTGACTCAAACCACACAATAAAATACACTTGCAAGATGGCTATTCTACCACTTGGTCCCCCCTTCAGCACAGCACAAAGCCCCTCATCAACAAAAAACAGGAATGGCCCATTCAATTGAT